ACTGTTGTTATACGTAAATAAATATGTAAAGTTTATAGATGTGTTGGGATTGTTGTATTTTGTATGTTATAATTGTGACGTATTATCAGAATGGAGTTTGTGGAGATTGTAGTAATTTTAATAGTTGCAACTGTTTTTTGTCTTAATTAAAAATATCTATTCTTACTTTTCCCTCTTTTTTATTAATGGTTTATCCTTCAATTTCGCAATTTGTTTGCATCCTTATTAATTAGTATTCATAGTAATAATTGAAGCTATAAACTTTAAATATATTGTTGACTTGTTTTATTTCTACAGATCATGTATTACTGTTCAGAAAGGATTAAACGGTGATACATCTCTAACATGGTAGAATTACATTAATTTTCTTTTTATGAATATAAATTATATTTTCTAGTGATAATAAAGGTTTATTCAAATCTGGGAATCAAATTTCATCTAGTGAATGGTCAAAAGTTATGATTGATTTACCGCCAACAAATACAGATTATAAGGTATGGTGATTATGGGAATTTATGAGATATTTTAATTATAGTGATTTAAACATCATTATCCTGTTAGCTAAAGCAATACATTCATGTGATAACTGAAGGTTATTACTAAATCACATGACCACAGATACATTTACTTAATCTTATGTTATTAAGAACCAAAAATCAACACCGTGATTGTATCAACACAAAAATGTAGAGTAGACAAAAGGTTCTTTTACATCATTCAGTTGTGTTTGTCTTTTTTCACTTACCAAACCCGACTTATCATGATGATAAATAACATTTGACTGAATTCGCTTTATGTACTGGAATTGTACTGCTTAAGCGCTGATTATTGCTTTTTCTTCTATAGAGCCATTTAGTTGGAGATTATTTATTTATTTATATCTCCTGCAAGGATAAGCAGATCATAAATTTTTTAATTCGCAGCTTAGATTTTTAGTTTTTTTTATTGTTTCATTTAATCATTAACTCTTCTATTAGTTATTCATTTTACATTCCTTGATCATTAATTGTTACCTTTTGATATTTTCTCATTATTTTAGCAATCTATTTGAATATATATATATATATATATATATATATATATATATATATATATATATATATAGCTTTTTTTACAATGATTTTAAAACAAGACTGTTATGATTAAGTAAGGAACTAATATTCTCAACACTTTGATCTTTATTAAATAATACGTGCTGTCTAAAGTTAACAGGATTAAGGATTATTATCGCAAATGATCAGAGCACAGTGAATAGTTCTTCTATTTCTTCATTATTTGCTCATGAGCTTAATTATCAACTATGATTTACTTGGTAGTGTTAACTTGAAACTTCCTATTGATGTTTAGGACTGCGACTGATCAGTGTCTTATTGACATATATGCATACTGTATGTGTTGTCTCAATATTGCCTTAATTCACAAGATGGATGGTAACAGCAGTGGAATCCAGGATGCAGGTTTCGTCTTATTTGGGACTCGTCAAGTGGATGTAACTACAGAGTTGATGTGAATTAAGGTGATATCGAGACGAGATGCACATATGCCAATAACAGACTAATCGATTGCAGGCCTAAATATCAATCGGAAGATTCAGACAAACAATACATAAACAAACTAAAACTTCACCCCGCTGCACAAGCATATGGCTATCTGAACTTAGTAGCTAAGTGGATAAGGAGATGGCGTGTGGGGCGAAAGGAAATGAGTCCACGTCCTGAAGTGAACACTAACCATGGAATGCAGGTACAGCCAGTTGACGAAACCCACATCCTGAATTCCACTGCTAGTTACCATCCATCTTTACTTATATCAACTACAAGGTTTTTTTTCCTGAAGTTTTATCTAAACATTTATTGTTATAGCTAATGATATCACTTGGTTCTTCGTATCTCAAAATACTTTGATTACTTTTTCATACTCTCGGTTACTAGTGTTTGAAGTTTTTCTAATGATATTTTCAGGATACTATCTTTATTTCATAATGTAAATTATCTTTTAGTTATGTTGTTATTTGTTCATGTGTTTATCTTCCTATTATTGCCTACTCGATTAACTGAGAAATAAATTGTAAGAGGTGGTTTTTTTTCCGATAGCAGTTTTAAACCAAATTCCCTATCGTCTAAATCTGATTTAGCTAAGTCGTTTTTCTTCTAAATAATTTATAAAACAATTGTTCTTCTGAAGTTTTTTTTATGTGTTTGTATAGAGAGACAAAAGTGTCAGATACGTTTGTTGTATTGTTGAGTGAAAGTATATTGAAGTAGTGTATGATTGATGTGTTTATTTTTTCGCTTTCTCTTTCCACTACTGACTGTTTCAACGCGTTAAACAAGCAATAGGTCTATGTATTGCATATTAATTAAATAGTAATTATCTGCACAATTTCTTCACACTTTTTCTAATATATCTTATTATGTATATATAGATCTTGTAAACCATCCCTTGATCCAGAGACTAAACAATTCGGTGTATTTTGGTATGTTTCTTGTGTATTTGTATATAAATATATATATCATATATGTGTCTAGTGGCAACGCGAAATTATGGAGTTCATCTAATGACAAACAATTTATTCACACAACAACAAGATGGCTTACAGTTGTAGTGAATTTAAATTCAACTGATCAAGATTTCAAGGTAGAGTGGTTTAATGACTCATAATTAGTTAAATTCCATTCTTTTCCCATCTATATTTCTTTCTTCTTAATTTATTTTGTTTGTTCCTCAACTCCATTTTTTCGCTTGCCTCTTAGTTTTCTTTTCTTTATCCTAATAGTCATTTCTCGTAATATCATTATTGTTTTTATCATAAATTAAAAGTGTTGTTTGTTTATTTGTGTTATGCTAAGAATACCTAAGTCTATATCAATAGGTTTACATATTAAGTCGTTTAAAGTGGTTCAAAAATCTCCTTCCTGAGTAATTAATTTTTCTTTTTCAATGCCAATGAAGAGTGCAGTACATCAATTTGACCATAGTTTAAACTATAATTAATTTTTTAATGCTTACATGATATTTGCACAATTATTTTTATGTTTATCCCTCATTTCTAATTCGTACTTAATATTTAAAGTAGTCCTTATAGCTTTTTTTCTGGTTTGGAATTGTGACTTAATTATTGAAACACTCCAAAATATGACATTTGAACCTTATCACACAAAATTTGGTTTGGTTAGCTAAACAGTATTGATTACTGTCACATATAAAGTGTAGTTTCTCAAGTTGGAACTGAAATAAATCACTATTATTATTATTATTATTATTATTATTATTATTATTATTATTATTATTATTATTATTATTATTATTATTATTATTAGGACTGTTACTATTATTATGACTATTATTATTACCATTATAATTGTTATTACTAATATTATTGATTATTATTATTGTGGGAATTTATTACACTTTTTTGAGTTAGTGACTAAGGTTTATGAGCTCCTTTTACCACAAATACGGAATTTCATATACATAAACGATATTACCAGTCATTTATTTATTTATTTTAACACATAGATATTGGTACAAGAAGGCACCAAATACATATGCGCCACAAAAATCTCATTCGATATGTGTGAGGGCTGTGATACTACCCGGGTGCCCAAACCGAAACAGGTGGTTTTCTTAGGGGGCCACTCCCCGAGCCTTCGACCTGAAGGTCTGATCCACAAGGCAGTGGAGCATCGTAATTAGATGCAGTCCCATGGAAGCCGGTGACCAACAATTGGTTCATACGCCATTTGTTCCCTCAGGATACTGGATCCCATGTACACCATTGATTTGGTTTGGGATCCGGTTAAAGCGCCGTCATTGAAAAGCTGATTTATTTTTGTCAGTAGTATTGAAAACATTGTTTCATACATAAAGAAAAGGCAATTTCTAGAAAATAAAATTTATCAGTATGAAATAAGTCATTATCCTGTTATTCATTTTCATCATTTTGCATAGTGTTGATTTTCGTTAATTCTTACTACAACATATAATCTGTAAAGTAGTGGGTCACCTACGTTTAGTCGCATAGATTATTATCTTACTTATTTTACTATTGACTGATCACTAAATAATGTCTAATCTGATGTTTGTCTAGTCCTTCAGTGATAATCGAATTATGTCGGTCAACTTACGATTTTATCACACGTCAGATTAACTCGATATCTCTTTCACAATGTTGAGATATTAGTTAGTTGAAAATCGTCATCAAAGAATCCTTAGACTAAGTTTCTTGCTCTCTACCACTCTTCATTAAGGTACAAAGTTTCACAGATGATTCAGAATAGTTCGGCTCCAACAGACGGTATCAGTTTTATCAATATCGCGGACACGTCTTGAAGACAAATGCCAACTTACACAAAACCCAGGTTCAAGATTACTTTTTGGATCACCTCCGACCACCTGACTTATAAACTGTTAACCACTGGTTCCAAACATATCAGTAGTCTGATATAATTTACAATATGTTTGGTTTATGTTTAGAAAAATACTAATTAAATTTTCACTTTATAGTCATCCAGTATTAGGATGATTTATAAGTTTTCACATAGATCTTGTATCATCAAACATTTTAGTGCTTAAAAAATGACTTTCCGAATCCACCTGTTCATATCGAGTTCTTTTCGAGTAACTTATTATTATTTCGTCAAATATGTGAACGAACTTGGAGGTATATATAACACCTAGTACCTAAGTTCAAACACCAACCAATACACTATACCTAATATAAATACCTCCCTTCTGAAGTAAAAGCAATATGTTAGGACATTTAAAAGTATATAAATATATTATTACACTTACATTAAGGCTTAGTTTATTCCAAATGGTTATATAAAACAACAACAATAATCATCCTATGCTTGTATCAAGTCAGTTGACAATCGAAACTATTCCCAGTCTCATTATCGATAGAAAAAGTGCCCAAATGTTTGCTATAGTTCCTACACCTCACTAACAATCTGTATGTCTTTAAAAATATTTTTTCCTACATTTTTTCTACCTTGCAGCTGATATTAGAAGGTACAATTCCTGCTGGCTATCCAGATGCTAGAATCTGTGTCGATAATATTACTTCCTATACTGAACCATGTAGTGGTAGGTTATATAAAGTAAAATCATTTTGCATGATAACTTTTTTCATTAGAGCATAGTATACTAATGTTGTTACTTTTTTTCACGGAACTATACTATGTCGTCTGTAGTTTATTTCTGTAAAAATAAATAAAATCTTCATTGAATAGAATACAGTCATATATATATATATAGCAGTTCATTTAACCTCTCTCTCTTTGTATTCGTGTGTGAAACACATGGTTCTAACCACTAAGTCGTAAACCTAAACTTGACTCCACATCCTACTTCTGTTGAATAGTATCACCAACCTGTACAAAAAATGTCACTATCTAAGCTGAATACATGAAACTTATTTACAATTAGTGAACTACGTCGAAAATTTAAAAATTTGTAAATCATTTTCCCTAAAAGACTTTTTCGTTTCAGTATTAAACTGTATAATGTATTGTATGTTACTCATTTTTTTCGAACTGTAGTAGAATCACTTTAAAAAATCACTTTCACAAACAGCTTTGCTAATATACCTAGAAATATTACCTTATTTATTCTAAGTAGCGGGTTTTTCCATAGGTTCTATTATCACTGAAGTGATTTAGATGTTTTGTGATCACCACAAAATAGTGGATTCAACATTAGTGTCATAGGTACAGGATAACTGTAGCTTTTAGAAATTTCCTACTGCTTCATACAATTCAAGCTTATTCTCTTGCTAAATTTAAAAACAATAGCTTATATTTAAGATCCTTACTAACTGATTCAGTACAAGGTTGTTTATGTTATCATGACTAGATATAAGTAGCCGTGAAGGTCGACATTAAGTAACGTTTAGCTTGAAATTATTCGTTTTTGGAAATGAATCAGATCTTTAGTGTACTACTGTATCAATTTTCTCCCATTTATCTAATAAAGCAAAATCTTTAGTATTATGAATATATCATAAAATGTTTTTTATACCCTACTTTCTCGTGTAAATAGCTCTGGAGAAAGCATCTGCACCATTGCCAAGTCAATGGAGTTGGGCACAATACTTTGGATTGACATTTGTTGGTGCTTTAATCTTAGGTTTATTAATACCAGTGTTGTTTTTGGTTATTCTGATTTGGGCTTGTCGTCGCCGTCATCATGCTATGCACTCAAACTATACGAATAGTAAATTATTTTCTACAAATCTATGGTATTACATCGGTGGCAAAGAAATATGTGATGATCCAAATGGTTTTCGCGGTAGTTCAAGTTTGTTACGTTCAAAACAATTTAATTCACCGTCAGCAACTGGTACTTTATTGAATGGTGGTGGTGGACATCATCTGATGTTGAGTAATGCTGATGTAATGGATTTACCTGATGTAGTTGTACCAGGTGGACGTGTAGTAGCCTTTAATTATTCTGGAAATACTTTAGGCGGTAACACACTTCGTCATAATCATAATAATGCTGGATATACAAACACAAATTATCTATCAAATGCACAAAATGGACAGGTTATGCTAACAAATGTTAATGGGACAGTTTCATTGAATAATTGTGGTACAAATGTTACTACTGTTGCACGTACTGGTCAAAATGCGATGCCGTTAGTATCAAATGAACTTATTCAACAACAGTCACAAAGTCAACAACAAAATGAAACTTATAATTACCAAACAAATCCAGTTTTCGGGGGTATGTTGTGCTTACGAAGAAAAACGGATTGGTTTTCTTATTTTTTGTTGATTAATTGCCAATTAAAATTGTAAACTCTTTTGGAGTATTCTTCATAACATTTAAAGTCATATAAGGAATTCTACTTTCAGGTTATTCTTCCACATATTCCTGTTCGGTTCATATCGATCACTGATTAACTGATCACAGCCTTAATCTCAATATAAGATGGTGGTTAATTAGAGTCTTTCGGAAACCCTGGATTTAGGTTGCGTGTTGTTTGGCACTCATCTGCAGGGTCCCGACCGTTGTTGCTACCTTGACGTGGTGGTCGGGCTTGCCTATCGTGATGAAGCAACCGAGCTATACTGGCTGGAACAACCGTTCCTCAAGGTCCTACCATGTCAGACAGGTCGGTTGAAGAGCGGTAAGACTAAAAGCAACAAACCCAAGGTCCGAAGGCGAAGTCGTACTGCTGACTGTACAGAGGTGTGACAGCAGTAAGGTGTTTCCTTCAGACAACCAGCATGACAGCGATGCTGCCTTCCCACAAGGAGGGGTGGGGTTAGAAAAGGTCGACCCTAAAAATGCACACCTCGCCTTATCCCACGGATATCCGTCTCCGGCGGTAAGGTCTCAATAAGTACGGAGCTAACACAAAAATTACCCATAACAAGGTCGTGTGTGACCGACCTCAAGCAGTTGTCCCTTGGGCACTGCGGTCACGCTCTCAGGTCACTAAGACCACCTCTAATCCAATTTCCTTTTCAGGTACCTCCAGAACAACCCTTCCACGGTGTGGGCAACCGGGAAGTGATAACCGCCCTCATACTTCTAACAGCACTCAAGACCACTGTATTCATAATCAACCTCCCTCTTCAATTCCTATTATTCCTCCTACATCGACTTTCAACTCTAAATTTCCCCTCTCGGCTTCCACCTCAAGTGTCACCATAGCCAACGATTCTAGTGCGCAAAACACTGTCCCAGGTCTACTGAAACCTCGCTCCAAACTACACATTGGAGCCTTCAACGTACGCACCCTATGTCAAATCGGTCAGCAGGCTTCCTTGGCTAAAACCCTAGAGTCTCTTTCCATTGATGTGTGCTGTGTCTCCGAAACACGCATACAGGATTCCAGTGTGGTCATTCACTTGACCTCACCTCGGCAAGACGGAGAGCCAACGAGATACACCCTTCGTGTGTCTGGTGACCCGATGGCAAGTTCTCGTGGACTGGCAGGTGTAGGCATAGCACTAAGCATGAGGGCCGAACAAGCACTGCTAGAGTGGATCCCCGTCAACAGTCGTCTATGTGCTGTTCGGCTGAACGGCTACGTAAGAACTCGGAAGGATAGGGACACACGTCGTTGCCTTTTTGTCGTTTCTGCCTACGCTCCCACTGACTGCAGCTCAGATGAAGTGAAAGATGAATTTTACAGAAAGCTGTCCGAACTTCTTCAGAAAGCTAAACGCTCAGACATAGTACTCGTAGCAGGTGATTTTAATGCTCAGATAGGCAGTTTAAACCAAACAGAAAGGCATTTAGGTGGATATTTTAGTATTCCGACACAGCGAACAGATAATGGTGATCGTCTGCTGCAGCTATGCTCAGACAATCGTTTATTTTTAGCAAACACAAATTTTAAGCATAAGGAGAGACATCGTCTAACATGGCGACCCCCTACACCAAACCAACGATGGACTCAAATAGACCATATTGCCATCAGTCATCGTTGGAGAGGGTCGGTAGAAGATTGTCGCTCATTCTGGAGTACCTGCTTGGACTCCGACCATGCCCTAATACGGGCACGCATCTGCTTGCGCCTCACTGGACGCAAAAAAGCCACATTAAAAAGACCCATTAGAACTGAGTTGAGTAACGAGAAAACCAAAAGTAGGTTCCAGGAACAACTGAGGTCACACTTAGGTAGTTGTGAAGACGAGGCTGACCCAGATGTTGCTTGGAAGGGCATACAATCAGCTGTGGAAACAGCAGTGACATCTATTAGTGACTTAAACCACAGAGTTACAAGGAACCAGTGGATTTCTTCAAGGTCTGTCACACTGATGGATTCTCGCAAACTCGTCCCATCAGGTTCTGAACATGATGAAGAGCGTAAACAAATCAGATCTAGGTTAAGAAAAAGTCTAAGGAACGACCGTGAGCAGTGGTGGGTAACGAAAGCAAAAGAGATGGAAAAGGCGGCGACTATAGGGAACACAAGACAGCTTTACAGACTAATAAAAGAAACTGGAATTAATAAGTCAAGTGTAAGTGAGATTATTTCGGAAAAAGATGATACTCTCATCTGCTCCCAGTCCAGACGTTTAGAACGATGGGCGGAACATTTTAGAGAACAGTTCAGCTGGCCTTCAGCTACTCTACAACTACCCTCCATTCCCAGACAATGTGAATGGAACATTGAAGTAGGTCCCCCAACTCTTGCTGAAGTTGAGAAGGCTATAGTTAATCTGAAACGAGGAAGGGCAGCTGGTCCAGATGGATTGGCTCCAGAGGTCTTTAAGGATGGTGGTCCAATTTTAGCGATTAGGTTGACTAATATTTTAGCTAAGATCTGGGAATTAGACCTTATCCCATCTGACTGGTCGCAATCACTTATCGTCCCAATATATAAGAAAGGGTCAAAATCATCCTGTGACAACCACAGAGGGATTAGTTTAACAAACATAGTATCTAAAATACTGGCCTCGATAATTATCAAACGCCTAACTAAGACTCGTGAACTACAAACACGAGAGAACCAAGCTGGCTTTAGACCTGGTCGTGGCTGCATCGACCACATATTCACCATTCGTCAGGTTCTAGAACACAGGCATACTTATCGGCGTCCGACGATGGTGGTCTTTCTTGACTTAAAAGCAGCATTTGACTCTGTAGACCGCGAGATTCTGTGGCAGTGTCTGTCATTGAAAGGCGTACCTCAGAAGTACATAAACCTTGTGAAGGCTCTTTACTCGAACACTACTAGTCGAGTCAGGGCTTATGGCGAACTGTCATCTACTTTTGCAACCTCAAGTGGTGTCCGTCAAGGCTGCCCACTTTCTCCATTTTTGTTTAACTTCATCATAGACCTATTGATGGAAATAACACTCTCGTCGACTGAATTCTCGGGTATTGATCTCCTTCCAGGAGGTCCACTTATCGACTTAGAATACGCAGATGACATAGTCCTGTTTGGTGAAGACGCTGACAAAATGCAGAGTCTTCTGGTAGCACTAAGCAACAATGCCAGAATGTTTGGGATGCGCTTCTCTCCCTCTAAATGCAAGTTGTTGCTTCAGGACTGGTCTGCGTCAACACCTGAACTAAGGATAGGGAGTGAAGTAGTCGAACGCGTTGACAACTTCACTTATCTTGGAAGTCTGATCAGCCCTAATGGGTTGGTGTCTGACGAAATCTCAGCACGGATTCGAAAAGCTCGTTTGGCTTTTGCCAACTTACGTCACCTTTGGCGGAGGCGAGATATCCGTCTATCAATAAAAGGACGAGTATACTGCGCGGCAGTTCGTTCTGTTTTAATTTACGGCAGCGAAACATGGCCCTTAAGAGTAGAAGACACCCGTAAGCTACTAGTATTTGACCACAGATGCCTTAGAAATATTGCTGGCATCTGCTGGGATCACCGGGTAAGTAATAGTGAGGTTAGACGCAGGGTATTAGGGAATGATGGTAAATCAGTTGATGAGGTTATGAATCTTCATCGACTGAGATGGTTGGGCCACGTGTTACGTATGCCTGAACACCGATTACCACGACGTGCAATGCTAACCGGTGTAGGGGATGGTTGGAAGAAAGTTAGGGGCGGCCAAACCAAAACGTGGCATCAGTGCCTGAAGTCACTAACTTCTAGTCTGAGCCATGTTGGTAGATGCAGACTACTTGGTTGGGGTCCGCGTGACTTTCGTAACCAATGGTTGGAGACTCTTGGTGACATGGCTCAGAATCGATCACAATGGCGTCGGTGTATACACTCCCTGTCTTCCCTTAAACTAAGAGATTAAAATCACTTCATATCTTTCTTTCTACGAACTAATTCTTTCTTCCTATACTATATCCTTATTGCAATCTCTCCTATATATTACCACCTCTGAATTAACTACTTTTATGAATCCGGTGTTCATCTTGCTGTGCTAATGAGGTATGGCAACCTGGACCGATGCACATATGTGCCTGGTCCTACGTTGTAGCTGACTGACTGACTGACATCTGCAGGGTGTATATGTGATGTTGAAGGAAGTAATATCCTCTGGCGGATCCGATCTTCTGTCACCCATCTCCACAGTGCGTGAAGCTATCACTGAGCTATCCGGATTGTGACTGACGTCTTGCAGAACTGAGTTGTATATACAGTTGAATGGTCGCTTAATAAAAATCATTGTCATATCAAGTTCTTCTTAGAACGAATGTGACTGTCATACCCGAACGAAGAATAAATGAACGGGAACTTTTAGGGATTATTTATGGACTATTATAATATACATTTCTACTGGATAACTATTAGGTAAATAGGTTATATATATATATATATATATATATATATATATATATATATATATATATATATATATATATATTCCACGTGCCTGAAATATACGTTTCATACAGAGGAGGTTGATATTTGTGTTCTTGATCCAACGGGAAGGTCTAGATGAGAAGTTAATATTTTGAGGGCTAATACGGATTCAGAGTTGTTTCAAGGCTGCCAGTGCTGGTTGACGTGTCATTGGTCTAGCGCAGGTACAAGGTCATACAAGTTGGCATTCTAATCGACCATTTGCCACGTGACAATTGACAGGGTAAAAGTGATAACAGCGACCAGCACCAAGAAGGGCTTGATATTCATGTCACTGATCGCAACGCAGTGATTGGTCAGTCATGAAAATTATCCTGGTAATTTTCCGTGAAGTTTTCTTTTCGATAGTTAGGATAACTATTTCACTTGTATCCTGTTTTTCTCTACTTATAATTATTATTCAGAATCTGCCTCTATGGCACTGATGACAGCTAGTCAATCTCCAATGCTGATGACACAATCTATGGCACCAAATTATGGTTCTGAAGCAAATCACATTGCTCAGTCAAATTTTTCCAACGTAAGTAAAAAAATGTTTTTGAACTGAGAAGATTATTTAAACCTCTCATGAAGATTTCAGTGATGTTGTATTTTTTTCCGAGGTAAATGGTTAAGACCATAAAAAGACGTAAAGTGAAGACATTAAAAAATAATTTGAACCATGAACACAATCAGTGTTAGTTATTCAGTAATTTAAATGCTAGGAACTCTGCACAGCTAATTATTCAGTGTTAGTTTTTAAAATACTTATGATGTTGAAGTTGCAGTACCTATATATATATATATATATATATATATATATATATATATATATATACCACTAAATAGTTTGATGAGCGAGTTTTTAAACTTAACCTGTGAAATCATCTAAGTTATATTTGAGGTAATTACTCACTGATAACAATTGGTAAGGGTTTCATTGCACAAATCACTCGAAGTTAGAAATGAAGACAACTATACTTCAGCACGAAGTTACAATAGCATAGTTGTGTTGTGCATCGTTCTTTTTGTTGACTTCCAAGCTAATGTCAATTTCCAAACGAAATTATCAGTCAATACTTTTGTTAATTTCTATAAATTATTTTCTTTGATCCTGTTGAGTTTAAAAAGTCATATGATCTAAAAATTCTCTTTTGTCTATTAAGTTATGAGCATACAATACGTTCCTTCTGATAAGCCTTATCTAAATTCAGATAAATGAATTAATTGTACATAAGATCAGTATTAATTCAGTAGATAAATACAAGTATATTTATTGTTAAGTCATGACCCGTGTGTAAATATTATTTGTTTTCTTGGTTAAATTATGAAGATAATGTATAAAATCCATTATAAATATACATTAAAGTCGTAGTTAAACCTTTCTACTAATTAGAAGCAAAGATAGATGGTAACTAGTAGTGGAATCCGGGATGTGGATTTAGTCGTATTTTGGCTTCGTCAACTGGGTTTACCTGCATCCACAGTTAGTATTCGCTCCGGGACTTAAACTATGAGGTTAAAATCGCTTCTTATCTTTCGTTCTACGAAATAATTCTTTCTTCTTGTACTATTGTAGTGAACAAGAACACGGGTGCGGACAACCGAATGTATTTAACACAAAATTACAGGACTTGTTAATCAAATCTGACAATCATAAAGTAGATGCTTAATTTGCAAAATGTCCAATAATTGTCTCATAATGACTCAGACTTGATTGTTCTTGCATTTTCACACAAATTTCATCCTGTTTCCATTCTTTACTGTTCGATCCTCTTGTCTCTCTGCTACCAGACATTCTGTTCACGACTAACATCATCTACTACTTATGTCAATATAAGTAGCACACTCCACACTATGTCCTTATATACAATCTTTCTTTCATATATTACCACCACTGAATTAATCACTTCTATGAATCCGATGTTCATCTTATTGTACTAATGAGGTATGGCGATTTGGACCGATGCACATATGTGCCTGGTCCTATGTTGTAGCTGACTGACCGGGACTGGGACTCATTTCCTTTCGCTCCACCCGCCATCACGTTATTCACTTAGCTACTGAGTCCAAATAGCCACATGCTTGTGCAATGGAGTGAAGTTTTAATTTATTTATGTATTGTTTGTCCGAATCTTCCGATTGATATTTAGGACTGTAATCGATTAGTCTTTTATTTGCATATGTGTATCTTGTGCGTATTATCTCCATATTGCCTTATTCTCAGAGTGAACATCTCTTGGATGCAGGTAGTATCGAAACAATCCTCACAGGATGCACATATGCCAATAAGAGACTCATCAATTCCCGTCCTAATCTTCAATAGAAAGATTGAAACAGACTACACTATCATGAATTACTTTCTAATAATTGCTTACACTCAGTGAACTATTAGTAAAATATTCTGTGAATTTTTAACAACTAAAAACTTATTATCCACTTATTTGTCTTTGGATTTCTTCATATACTAGGCTAATACTCAACAAATAAACCAATTAAATTCAAATGGTCAAGTATACAACAAACCAGCAGTACCACCAGCACAGCAACAACACCAACCACGTGCACAATCGCAATATTTTCCCCGACCCAACAATCTCAAACGAATTTGATCCAACCCAACCACAGATATCTCAATCATTTCAACAACAACAACAGCAGCAACCGTCCAACTTTCAATTTCAGAACCAACTTCAACAGCCACAAACAACAACAGTTAGTAGCTACCAAACACCTGTTTCTAATCAGTTCATCCACAGCAAACAACAGTCTGTACAACAATCACAGCAACACAGTTTCCTCTTCCACCACCACCCCCAACATGTCAATTGCAACAAATGAATCTTCAACAGGCTGCAATTTACCATCACAAAACACAACAACAAA